AGAATGTTTTATTATTCTAATACAAGTAGACTATTTTTTGTATAGTTAGAGCATGTAATGTTGTGGCAAGATGTCAGGTGTATGGCTTAGTGGTAATATTTTAGCAGCGGCTGGTGTTGTAGCAGCAGCAGCAGCAGCAGCAGCAGCAGCAGCAGCAACTACCACATGTGTTGCATTGGCTCGACGTGTAGGAACCTCTGTGAAACACGTATTTAAGTCGACCGTTGTTTGATGACCCGTGTCAGACGACCACTGTGATTACCCGTGTCGGACGACCACTGGGATTACCCGTGTCAGATGGCCACTGTGATGACTAGTGTCAGACGACCACTGTGATTACCCGTGTTGGACGACCACTGGGATTACCCGTGTCAGACTACCACTGAGATTACCCATGTCAGACGACCACTGTGATTAGTGTCAGACCACTGTGAATACCCGTGTCAGACGACCACTGTGATTACCCGTGTCAGACGACCACTGTGATTACCCGTGTCAGACGAGCACTGTGATTACCCGTGTCAGACGACCACTGTGATTACCCGTGTCAGACGACCACTGTGATTACCGTGTCAGACGACCACTGTGATTACCCGTGTCAGACGACCACTGTGATTACCCGTGTCAGACGACCACTGTGATTACCCGTGTCAGACGACCACTGTGATTACCCGTGTCAGACGACCACTGTGATTACCCGTGTCAGACGACCACTGTGATTACCCGTGTCAGACGACACTGTGATTACCCGTGTCAGACGACCACTGTGATTACCCGTGTCAGACGACCACTGTGATTACCCGTGTCAGACGACCACTGTGATTACCCGTGTCAGACGACCACTGTGATTACCCGTGTCAGACGACCACTGTGATTACCCGTGTCAGACGACCACTGTGATTACCCGTGTCAGACGACCACTGTAATTACCCGTGTCAGACGACCACTGTGATTACCCGTGTCAGACGACCACTGGGATTACCCGTGTCAGACGACCACTGAGATTACCCGTGTCAGACGACCACTGTGATTACCCGTGTCAGACGACCACTGTGATTAGTGTCAGACGACCACTGTGAATACCCGTGTCAGACGACCACTGTAATGACCCGTGTCAGACGACCACTGTATTCAACGACTAGTCTAAACCACCACTGTGACCCAACGATTAATGAGAGCGACGACCACTCTTGCCCCAAGGTTTGCTTCATCACAAGACCAGTACCCAAGGATTACCACGACTCCTGAGTCTAGTGTCACTACAGGTAACAAACATTCACACACCAACTTACACTTGATATAATGGCTCAGCCTTAACAAAAAAGAATATCCGTTGGTTCATTCGAAATACGAAACAAAAATACACATACACACATGCATACATACACACACGCATACATACACACACGCATACATACACACGCATACATACACGCATATATACATACACGCATATATACATACACGCATATATACATACACGCATATATACATACACGCATATATACATACACCATATAACAACACGCATCACATACATGCACACACATGCGCGCGCGCCAGCGCACACACAACACACACACACACACACACACACACACACACACACACACACACACACACACACACACACACACACACACACACACACATTTCTCTCACACTCACTGTGTATTTTAACGCTAGATATAACAGAAGAAGTATAGAGAGAGATAATATACTGTAACAGTAAAGAGTGTGGCAGCACACAGTGAAGTGTATGGGAGGGGGCACTAATGTAATTGCCCCCCACCCCTTCTGCCCCTCTTTCCCACTTATGTTCCATCCCACATACATTAACGTGTGTTCACCGTGGCTCTCTTCTCTTCCATGTGCGCCCAGAACCCGGAGGCTGACGTAAAACTAGAGGTTGGTTCTTTTACGTTAAATTTTGTCCTTAATTTTAAATATAGGTGACCTGTTCAAATAAAAATAAATGCACATATGACATGACTTACGAATGTTTGATAAACAACTGTTATTGTAGTTGTTTCCCGTACTTGTTCGTGCTTCACGTTGGTTTGTACTATGCAAATCTTGATGCTGTCAATGTTTTCAGTTGAAGTTACTTAATGTGCTGCCAAATTGTGTTCTACTTGAATATTAATTTGACATTAATCACAATTATAATTTAATTAGTTACTTTGTCATGTAATATGTTAACATTAAATATTTAATGTTTTCAGTCCACGAGCCCTTTCTTCATTCACTTCTTTCTTTCTTTCTTCATTCACTCAAGTCCAAGCTTGCTTGCGGTAATTGATATTACCTACAATATGTGAACTATTAGTACTAACCTAAATGTTGTCACCTTTATGTTACACCTTACCCGGTCACAACCATACTAACTTTTCATTCATCCCATGCTGTAAGCCTGAACTTCTCCGCTGCCTACATATGACGGCCACACGCCGTAGATTGGGTACTAATTCGTCCCTGGTTCTCTTTCCTACAGTCACAGTCCCAGGAGCCGCCGCCCGTCTCCGTCAACCATAGATACGGGTCACAGAAGATGTCCATGACCCAGTGAGTATTACTACATATGCAAAATGAGTCCATGACATCGTGAATATTATAATTGCGTTCATTAAAAAAAATCGTAAACCAGTGTTTAATTTGTCGTGTGTCTGTTACATTCACAAAGAGAATGGTAAACCCTTTATATATAACATTAATTACAACTGTAATACATATGACATATTTATATATAAATAATTAGACTATTTTTTTTTCTCATGGACCGTCACTCACCCAGGTAGTGACTCAAAATAGTACGTTCACCCTCAATCATTCAATAGCTGTCTTACCAGAGGTGCGCCATTGAGATTCAACATCTCCTCCCTTCTTTAAGTGCAAACAATTAGAGTTATGGAGGTGTTTAGTAGTCTGCACTATGAAGGATGGTTGGGATGTGGCAGTTCGGAGAGTTGCTTGTGTGAATAAATGGCTTAGAAAATCGTCAAGTTGATGAGAGACTTAGGCAATATTTGTGTATCTTTATTCTGGAAACTTTTCGCCAACCAGTGGCTTCTTCAGTCCAGTGGAGAGAAAGTTGGCAGATGAGGAGATCGAAGTGATTAGTCCTTCAACCTGGAGTCGATGTGTTCATCAATCAGTCAGTCCATCAGTCTTGTCAAGATTGATTGAACACATCGACTCCAGGCTCAAGAACTGATTACCGCGACTTCCTCTTTATATTCCACCTTTCTCTGCATTAGACTAAAGAAGCCATTGCGCGGCGAAAAATTTCTAGAATAAACGTATCCAAATGTTGCACAAATATTTCATTTATCATTTAATTGTCATGTCTGCGCACTGATGGCAAGCCATCTACTGAAAGAATAATAGGGAATGTGTTTCCTTTGAGTCGCCCTACCTTAGCGTAAGGCGGGAGATAAGGGAGGAAAAATATTTTTCAAACTCTAAAATATGTCAAATAATTTGCCTTCTCTAAAGTAGGAAAATGTGTTTAGAGTTCTCATTCAGTCTTTCCCTCAATCAGTGCTCTGAAAGAATCCGGATACGAAAGCGACAGCACCTTAGTGTTTAGGAAACGTGAGGACGCTCGCCGTCAGGCACCCGACCCCAGGAAGACCAGCCAAGTGTACCGCCAGGTGAGAGGCAGACATGTATAGATAGAGAAAGACACACACACATCGACAAACACTGACAGACACCAACAAGTTAACGGTCGGTTGGTCAGGGTTTGTAACAAGACTTTGTCGCCATTGCAAAGAAAGGCTGAGAGCACTTAAAGTTGTGGCAGGCTTTCATCCCAGGTATGGTGCTAATGTTAAAATGTTGAAAATGATGTATCTTGCTTATATTAGATCGTTGGTTGATTATGCCGCGCCACTACTTGCTCTTGTGTCATACTGGAAGCTTGGAGGGCTGGGAAAACTGCAGAGCGAAGCAATGAGGATCATCCTAGAATGTCCTCGTACTGCCAAAATTCTAATATGCGGAAAGAACCGGATATCCCAAACATCAGAGATCAATGGGATTAATATGCTGAAGCAAGCCCATTCAAACTCTTGAACAGAAGCCCTCCAAGCTTTCCTGATAAAAACTGGAACTGACCTCTGCATGAACCAGATACATGATCTATGTCGAGTAAGGCAACAGCGGCACTTCCCCGCACCATGGGATATTACCCCATTCCGGACCACTATCCCTCCCTTCCCCCTCCCCCCCCGAAAAAAAAACTTCTTAAATCTCAACCAAAGCTTCGCCTTGAAATCCAGAAGGATGCCTTAAGCTGTGTTGATGACTTAGGTCTTAGGCACACAGCACACTTTCACAAGTTATGTTGATGGTTCTGTTCACGAATCCTCTGGTAAAGCTGGTAATGCTGCTATTGTCATACAGAGTGATGACTCTCGTAAAGAAATTGGAGCACCCATCAATAACTGGGTCTCTACCCTTCAAACAGAATTGTTTACCATACTCCTTGCACTTTAATACGTTCATGTATCTAAGGTTGACACTTTAATTGTAACTGATTCTCTATCCATAAGTGCTCTCAACTCTTTAAATATAAACTGTGGCATTCCAGTGTCAAAAGCCAGATATAGGTATGGTAGGATTGTGGACGGGAATCGGAGTGCACCTTCTGTGGATTCCATCTCACATTGGTCTTCTGATGCGTTATTGAACTGATAAATTGGCTAAGTTACATGCCTTCAGAGAAGGAGTAGATTACAATCTTGGTCTGTCAGTTTGCAGTTTGAGAGTAATACGAGAAGAAATTCAAGTGAACTTTATTGGCCTTAGATTGAGGGAGGTTGACATCAGTCAGTCCGTCTATCATCATTCTGTCATGAAGGAGGAGCCACGTGTTTATGATGCATCCAACAAAATAAACACTCTTGGATGTCACTACCGCCTGGCTCCGACTGGGATACAAGTATCTTTGGCTGGTTAAGTCACCAGCACCATATGTAGACCAAACGAAATGTAAA